TACAATCCACTTTCTGTTGACTCAAAAAAAAAATTTGCGTGAATTCTGATAGGAACTGTAGATTCTAAACTGCAGCACTTTTTTCGGTCTTGTCAATTACATTAATGCTTATTCTTGCTCACGCAAAAGTCTTAGAAAATCTTTTAATTATTTGAACTGAAGTATTAATTTTGGTAGAAAAAAAGTAAAAAAATTCAGAGAGAATTGAGAGCAAAAGAACTGTTTAACTTAGAGATAGATCTGTTTGTAAGTCAGAAAAATTAGATTTAAAGAATAATTCATGTAACAAAAGAGAGTAAACCAACTGCTGCAGTTTATGGTCTTATTGCTTCAAATAAAATTGTGAAAGATGTATGTTTCAGGAAACTGGTGTGTGACTTCAATGCAGGTGGGTGCGGGTTAAACTGCGAACTCCATCGTCTAGCATACTGCTTCCTTTTTGCGTACAATACGAATAGAACAGCAGTGCTGGACCAGGACGGAAATAGGTGGATTTATTCCGAGCATGGATGGAATTATGCTTTTAAACCTATAACAAACTGCTCTTACTTTCAAATTAAGAAGGTTTGCGCAAATTTTTTATAAAATTTGATTTTTGAAATTACCACTGGTTGAGAAATTTTGTTCGCATATCATCGACTTTTATGCGACTTTTTCTGGAATTCGCTTTTTAGGTTCATTTATACTTTCTTTTCTACACTTCCACAAAGACTAAACTGCATAAAATTTTACCAGTCAATAAAAGCAACCTTTTTTCTTATTTTTGTCAGTCATTACTTCTTTAAGATTAGCAGGTATTATTTCTACATTTGCGAATGATTAAAAACCAAAAAGGCGAATGACAGGAAAAGTCTTAGACAGCAAGACACTGTTGTGCTGTCGTCTAAGCACACATACACTGCAGTAATTTTTTTTAAAATTATAATAAGACGATAGTTGAGGTATAATACATACCTGCACTAGTTATTCACCTTCTGCTGTTTAAACCATCAAAAAGAAATAGGGAGAAACTGCATTGTAACGAAATAATAAAGATTTATAGAAATAAGTACGTTTGAGCACTTCTGAAGAATTAGACAAATACACCATTGATTAAAAATAATGTACTGACGGCTACAGCAAATATTATAAAAGAAAGAAAAACCTGGTTTTATAATTTTTACTTTACTTTTTACACTTATTCAACCTCAGTCAGCCGATATCTATTTAACTCATTGTTGACATTTTGTTGATGATGAAGAGTTTTGTAAAAATTGCAGTGTAGAAAATATCAAATCCATGAATTCTCAAAATCCTGATTTTTTAAAAACGTAAATTTTTGGAATAATACTTGGAGAAATAAAAGATTTTGAAACTGTGAGAATGCCTGTTCTGTTTAAAAACTTCTCTTTAAAGAGGAAACATATCTCGAAAATTTTGCAAAATGCGAGTATGACGCACTTCCGCTAATTACTTTTTTGGCGAGAGATCTGAGGAGGTGAACAGTGAGGAGATCAAAGGCAAAGGAGGAAAAAGCAACAAGGAGAAAATATGTAATAGCATGTAACAGCGACGACGCAGCAAAACTGCGCTTAGCAAAGCCTCTTTGTATGTATGCCAGGATGCGCACTTTTCTCCTTTATATTGCAATTCTTTTTAATTGTGCGGATTAACAGAATCTGGGCCAGCAATTTTTTTATACAGAAATCAAAAAAAAATCTGAAAAAGTCAACTCTCCGCAGAGTTACGCCTCCTCAAAATTGCCGAATTTGCCAGATTACCCCATGACATGCTTACGCTTGTAGACTTCTAATTTATCCCTTTTCCAGTAGAATTCAATGTTCCTTGTTCGGTAAGTTTGTCACATTTTGATAGTTTTGAACGCTTATTTATTATTCTAATTCTAATAACAAATCACACAAATACAATAAAAATAAGGTCTCAAGCAAACATTAGAAAAAACCGACACCTTTTAAATTTTTCAAAAGAGGCGTATTTTGTGCACAATCTTTTGTTCTATAAAGTATCAAAATTTGGTAATACCGATTTTTTGGTATCGGCAGTCACGAGTTGGAAGGAAATGTAAAACTGAAAAAAACCTAGTATTTTCACAGTAATTACATGTGTTTTACAGTGACGAAACTGCAATTGATCACCAAAACCCGGTATGCTTTAAACGTTGAAAATTTGTTACAAAAGCTGCATTTCATCTTAGTAACATTAACAAATTATTATTCTACAGAGTAGCGAAAGGTAACTTTTACTTCAGTACTTTCTACTTCTTTTATTTCGTGATTTCTGAGCTCTCAAAATTGTTTCTATAGTGTACTCGTTAAAGTTATAGTCGCACAAGCAGAGGACAAAAACCAGATTTGTTATTGCTCTTTAAAAACATGTGCTCTAGTCTTTAAAAACATGGGAATTTTAAAGAAAAAACTGACTTTGACAGCTAACCAGGTAAAGCAGAGAATTTTTGAATTTTGTGACGCCAAAATGTGTACTAGCTGCATAACATTGACAGAATGAAACACCAGAAGCGTAAAATACTGCAGTGAAGAATACCTCTTAGAACTGTGCAGAGTAATAACTTGTTAATATTACTGAAATAAAATGCAACTTTCTGTGTCAAATTTTCAATGTTTAAAGCATGCCGAATTTTTTGTAGCCGGTAGCCGCCCATTGTGGTGATCAACTGCAGTTACGGACGATTTTGCCACTGTGAAATACATATGGTTACCGGGTTATTGTAGGGTATTTTTTTCCAGTTTTACATTTATTCAGAATCGCAGCTCTCGACACCAAAAAGTAGCTGTCACTAAATTTTGAAATGTTGTAGAGCAGAAAATTCTGCACGAAATATGTCGTTTTCAAAAAATTTGAAAGTTTGTTTTTCTGTTTTTTTTTTTTTCTTTTCATTTGAAAGCTTATATATATATCGACCATTCCACGCCAAATCGCACAAGTTTGCACCTGGACCCCTCGAATTTTTTTCATTTTTTGCCAACTTGTAGCACTTAATACCACATTTTGAAATCAAAAGAGTTTACCTTAAAAAGTGTGCTGGCGGCAAAGTTAGACCGCTCTAAATTGCGAAAATAAACGCAATTTTCCTTCGACATGGTCACTTTCAAAGCGTATATTTTTCTTCATTCAAGACGAATTTTTTTCATTTTTAATTTACTTAAAAGCCTGTCTCTTATAAATTTAGAAAGCACCAAAATGCATACATTAGCAAATTTAATTCTAAATTTAAACAAAAACAAAAATTCAAAACAATTTTTCTTAAAAACAAACAAATTTTTTGTAAAAGATATATTTTTTGAAGACATGATTTTTGCACAACATATAAAAATTACAATGTGGTGTCTTTTTGACATTAAGAGTTACGACACGATTAGAGACAGTAGACGGGAAAAAAACTTCTAATTGAAGCACTATTTAGGCGCTTTTGTAAGTGACAGAACCTCTGTTTCTACCAAAATTTTATGAGTTGAAATAATATATGTAAGTCTTGCGAAAAAAAATGCAGCCGTGCATTGATTTAAAGCTTGAAGGCATATTGGGAAGAATAGCGTTGATGGCCAACATGAAAAAGACACGTTCAGTCTAAGTCCTAACTCAAAATGACCTTTACAAGTAGGCTCTGAACTGATGAAAAATGCATTCGTGTCTCCGGCATTTTTACAGGAATATGAAAGGCAATCAGTACTTTTAGCATAACGTTTTTTAGTAGATTCGCCAGTCAACTGTATAAAAAATTTCACTCCATTATACTACAAAGCGCTGAGAACGAAAATAGCAAAACAATACTAGCGAAGAATAAACAGTACTGAGTACGGTATATTTGGGTCAGAAGGGTTTGATAAGCAAGCAAAGCTGTAAAAGCCGAAAAAGTAATCATAATAGTAATTTTTTCTAAAAAAAAGTTTATTAAATTGTTCAAAAGTAAATAAATTTTAATCAACTGATTGTTACTAAAGTGTCTGAGTTGAAGAGTTTTGCAAGGCTTACATATATTTTTACAATTAATAAAATTTTTAGTAGAAACGGAGGTTCTGTCACTTACAAAAGCGCCAGAATGCTGCTTCAGTTACGGGTTTCTCTCCGGTCTCTTCTCACTAATCGCACCGCAACTCTTGATGTTTAAAATATACCACCTTGCAATTTTTACATACTGTGCAAAAATTGTGCTTTTGAGAAATATGTTTTTCTTATAAAATTTAAAGCGTCTGTTTTTGAGAGAAACTGTTTTAAATTAAAATTTTAATTCTAATTTAAGACAAAATTTGCTAATATAGGCGTTTTACCACTTTGCAAATTTGGTAAGAGACGAGCTTTCAATTAAAAAAAATGAGGAAAATCTGTTGCGAATATATATATATATATCTTCAGAAGTAGCTCTTACAACGGTCATATAGAGCAGGACATTTGTTGCAAATTCTAATGCTCTCACTTCCAATTCTTGGTGCAGCTTGCTTATAGCGCTGTCAGAACTTTTTTCTTCGACGTTTTTTTGAACATTGTTTACCCAATTTGCTTATAATTACATTCGACAGCTTAAACAGTCATTCAAAACTGAAAAAAAAATGTGTAGAAAATTTATTTCTTCTCACGCTTTTCATGATTTTTATGGTTTCTGAAAAATAAAACTTATGTTACTTAATGCACCTTATTTACTTTGGTGTCAGCAGGAATTTCTAGGACCATGATCAAATTGTTCCATGGAAAGGTATCACTTCACAAGAGAAAGTCATGTTTTTGAGATACTGGACTGACAAAGAACCCGACTTTCTGCTACCAAAAGTGCCTAAAGCTTACAGTGAACTTAAACACCTGCATTCGAACCCTCATATTTTTTTTATTGCTCAAGTAATGCTTTTCTAATGTTTTTTACAGAGAATATGTTCCTCTTGCTACTCGTACTGCAGTAATATCAAAAGTCAAATTTATAGGTTTAAATTTGTTGCTTCTTTATTCCTTACTTTCAGTTTAAAAAATTTTTTATGCGCCTTTCGAAAAATATGGAATTAAAGGTTGCAGAAGCGGAGAGAGCTGTTCCATTTAATAGTGGTAAGCTAATTTAGATATGGTAATTGATAAACTGAAACCATGATGTTATACCTATGACTATTTTACAAAGTAAAGGTTAGCAGAATAAAGCATAATTTCCTACCAAATAAATATTTATTGAGGTTGAAAAAAATTGCAGTCAGAGAGAAATGTTGACGAGAACCACAATTTGCAACGTTTTTTTCCACTGCAACTGGTATAAAAATAAGATTAAAAACTTTCTTTTCTGTAGGGTTTCTAGTTGGCGTACAAGTTCGTCGCACAGACAAACTGATATGGGAAGCGAAATATCATGCGCTGAAAGAGTATATGACCTGGACAGAAAATTGGTTCAAAGTTGAAGAGCATCGCTTTCATGCTTCTCTCGAACGCAAGATGTTTCTGGCAACTGACGAAGCGGCAGTAATCGATGAGGCTTTTGAAAAGTTCTGAGTCTTTCTACATGAATTAAATTTGATTTTTTATAAAAATTTTCTATTAGCGAGCAGTATAATTTTATTTAGTTAAATGTTTTCGTTTATTGGCATCTTTCAGCCTTGCTTTTCTGAGCTTACAACTTATTTTTCAGGTTTTTTTTTAAGTTTTTCTCTTTTCTAAATTTTTTATTTCATATTGAAAATGCCTAATTTTTAAACAATTTTCTAAGAATATTTATTACTGTTTATTCCGCGTTTTCTACTTTTTATTTTCTTGAATTTATCGTTTCTTTCGTAATTCAGATTTAAATTTTACCTGTTTCTGCAATTTTTTCAACCGCAGTCGATATGTTTGAAAACCAAAGAAGGCATTATCAGAAAAAATGAAGGATAGGAATATGCGTTTACGAAATATCGATGAGTTCTTAAGGTATTTTCAAGTTTTTCACTGTTTCCAGATATAAAAATTATCAAATTTTCACAAATAGAAGCAGAGCTCTAGGAGCTAAAAAGGAAACGAGATTCGCAGAGCCATCTCTCACTGGCATCATCATAGATATCTACATGTTGTCAAGGTATGAACACATTAGTGGTTTTATTGAGCAAGAGTAATATAAGACTTTCTTAGCTCATTTTTTCAGGTGTAGTCACTTGGTTTGTACACTCAGCTCGGGGGTTTGCCGGCTTGCTTATGAGCTAATGCAAGCACGGTTCTTACGTACTGGAAACGAGGTTTATTCTGTTGATGGCGATCCCTACGGTATTTTTACTGATAAGTGTTCAAGTCACCGCTTACACTATAAGATAAAAAAAAATTTTGTTTTAAGAGAGTAAAATGAGTTAGCTTTTTAACGACAAAAATAAAGAGCGAGCACTAAATAATGATTATAAAACGAATAGTCAAGTGACGTAGCTGAGTCAAAAATCATAAGCATTACTGCCAGACAATAACTAGAACCGTTTTAAAATAAACTTATCGACTTACGTAATGGTAAATTTTCTCTATAGATTAAAACTGCAGTTCGCTTCGTTACAACAATGTTTTCTTTTGCAGAACCACCCATTTCTGCAAGCCTTTATTCCTTATCACAATAGAATTCTCTCTTTTTTCTTTAACAGAAGTATTATTTCAGAAAGAGAACAAATTGTCGTTTACGAACATAAAGCCGAATCTGAAGAAGAAATTGACATTGTTGTAGGAGATCACATTAAGTGCACGTTAAACCAAGGAAATGGTTATTCTTATGGTTTAAACAACAGAACAGGAAAAACTGGAAGGTATCCCTCTTATAAAGTGCGCAACGTTTGGGCAACTTACTAACGAAAACTTTCGTAAGGGTATGAACGCTTATGGAAAATGTTGAACGAAAGAAGATTAGGTATTTCAATGTATTTTCAAAACTGAGACGCTAAAGTAACTCAATCATGCGCAAGAAAACGAAGCTAATACAAGACGATAACCATTTCCTTAAAATATGGAGTAAATAAGTAGACTATTTGATTGTTGTGATTTGAAGAACGGGTAAAAGAGTTCAAGCTGTATGCTCAGGTATAACGATGAATATTATATTTTTATTCTCAAAGTTGTATTGAAAAAAAAAAACAGAGTTAAGAACTGCGAGCATTTATAATTTCAATCGAACTAGAAAATTTTATACTTTCACACTTCTCTGGCGTGATGATCACGGGTAAGGACCAGTTCGCTAGAGCTTTTAGGAACGGCTGCAGTACTGCTTGAACATCTTAACCGCAAGCTCTGTTTTCAATGAAAAATAAAATTTTATTGATAAGTGGCTTACTCGTTTTTTGCTTATATTTTTTTTTGTTTTGGCTTCAGAAATGCCTAAGGGCTACAAGCGGAATAGAGAAAGAAAAGGCAGGTTTATACTGCCAAAAGTAAAAAAAAGAAGAAGGAGAAAATTCCGCGTTACGTAATACTTAGAAGCGAAGAAGAATGGACAGAGACA